GCTTAATTGAAATTTTGAAGCATATCCAGAACCACACTAACTGTATAAAAAATAATCCTATACTTATTTTATTAAACAATCATAATTCCCATGCTACTCTTGAAGCAATTTTGTCTGGCAGGGAGAATGGAATTGTATTTGTAACATACCCACCACACTGCACACACTGACTACAACCTCTTCATATTAGACTGTATGGGCCATTTAAAAGGAAATTAAAAATTGTTTTAAATGATTGGATGCTAAGTGATCCTGGTAAAATTATAATCATTTATAACTTGCCTATTTTAAATACATCATTTTTATTAAAAAAATATATTATCTGCATTTGTGAACACTGGTAACTGGCCTTTTCGTAGATCAATTTTTTTTGAAAATGATTTTGACTCTGCATATCTAACAGATCGACCTGGTAGGAGAAAAGCCTCCTATCATAGCTGTTACAACAGAAAGAGCAGAAGCATCATAAGCTGCTATAAATAATACACTACCAAAACATCAAAAACTTCATTAACTCTGGAAATGATTTGTCCGTTTCCAAAAGCTGCATGGCGTAGGCAAACTAATAAGGAAAAAAAAAAGGAAGAATACTCACAGATGAAAAAAAAGACTTGAAGAAAAAATTGAAAGACTCTTGAAGCAAAAACCTAGTGTACAAACACAATTTAAAAAAATACAATAATTCCCCAGATTAGTTTATTATCTGGTTCTAATGGAAGTCATGATGAGTTATTGTATGAAGAGTTTAATACATCTAATGTTGGCCTAATTAAAGATCCAATTTCTGGTTTTCTGAACATTGATTTGAAGAGTTTTGCTATAGCAAAATTTTCTACAAAAAAAACTACTCATCATTGCATCAAGCAAATAGACGGCATTCTTGATAACAATGAAATCTCCATAGGTTTTATGAAACAAGTATAATTTATGAAATTTATTTTTCCTAAGGTTTCTGATAAAAGCATTGTCAGTTTAAATGACATTATTGGTAATCTTCCTAATCAAAAGTCCACACCAGGATGAAACACACAGGCTCTTTTCAAGAATTCAACATTAATTATTCAATATATAATATAAAATAGTTACTTGAAAAAAATACCTACATTGAATTGTTTTTTTCTGTCATATTTACATATTGTTGATATATTTATAAAATATTTTGTTGGTTTTAAAATGTGTTTTATTTTTCATTAAAACTATATTTATTTTTAATAGTAGTTGTTACTGTATTAATGTAAACACATTTTGTTAAGATTTTTTACATTTTGTTGATATATTTATGAAATACTTTGTTGGTTTTAAAATGCGTTTTATTTTCTATTGTAAATTTTGCCAAAACATTGAGATTGCTTACAATGTCATTCACAACATGTTAACAATGTCTGCTACAAAACATTGAGAATGTTTACAATGTCATTCACTACATGCTAAAAATGTCTGCTACAAAATGATGACTTTTAGTATGCACAACTTTATTTGTTCATTCATTTTTATAGCAATAATTTTTACAGAATTACTATTATAAATTATTGTTACCTCTATAACATAAAGCATTCTTTGTTAAAATTAAATTTATTTTGTTGACAAATATTTTACTTGAATAAAATAAATTTCTTCCCAGAGCCCCACTATACTCAAGGAGAGTAATCTACTTTTTTTTATTTTAAATTGTTGTTATATCCCTTCTGCAGCCATAAACTTAAAAACTAACCTTTCAAAAACAAGGTTGCTGCATGTTAAACTCAATACTTCCAGGAAAACGGTGGATTTGAACTTTTTACTTAGCAATTGGATTGTTATATGAACATGAATAGATTACTTTTGTGATCTCATTTTTATATTGTAATTTAAAACTGCATTACCTAAATTTATGTTAGTAACTGTAATGTATTGAAATATATGTATTGGCACCATCACCAATTTTAACAACTGTTGTTGTCTGAATTATTTTAATAAAAAAAGTCTGAACATTGTTGAAAAACAGATCTAAAAGGTTCAATACTTTGAATACATGTATATTGTTGAAAGCAAATTGACTTGTTGTTTAAATTGACTTAAATAATATTATAATTGACAAATGTAAAGTGCCTTTTTGTTTTTATGTATATATTCTATTTATATTATATATATAAATTTTATACTAGATATATAATCTTTATACTAGATGTATATATAAGACAAAATCTTTATATTAGATGTTAAAATTTTATTTTTTAAATTTACATTTACTTAAAAAATCTATATATAAAAACCAATGTTCCTGATTCCATAACTCTGTAAAAGCGATATGCTTTTACAGCGTTATGGAATCAGGAACATGGGTTTTTATATATGGGTTATATGTTCCTGATTTCATCATGAGTAATGCTGTAAAAGCGTAATGGAATCAGTAACATGAGTCCTATAACACATAGATGAGTTTTTGACTTAATGAAAATTCTGGAAATTTCTTTTTATAAACCCCATAAAATTATTTTAATAAAACAAAAGGAATTTAAAATTAAAAATTAAAAATTAATAAGGAATTTCTAATATTCGAAAAAGTTCATTTGAATGAATTAAAAAGAAAATTATAGAAAATATATTTGTTTAAATACAAATGTTGTCGTATTTAAAACTTTATATAATATTTTTCAAATTAATAACAAAAAACATCTGGAAATTTCTGGAAAATTAAATGAGTTTTGAGAAATTGAATTTCCGGAATTCCGGGAAATCCCGGAAAAAACTCATCTATGATAACAGTAGTGTCATATATATTAGACATGTATACTTGCAACAGTAGTATCATATATTAGATGTACACTTGCAACATTAGTGTCATATATTAGATGTACACTTGCAACAGTAGTGTAATGTATATGGTGCTACTGTCACAATACAGTTTATGAAAAAAAATTTTAATGAAATTTTCTTTAGAAATTTAAATTTTTATTTTGAATTATTTGCCATTCAATATAAAGTATGCGTAATATATATATTATATTTGACTTCCCCCAGCTTCACTTTATTTTTCAAAATAAACAAAAATTATATACTTTAATGCTCAAATAAAACAAGCACCACAGCACCCCTGAATTTACTAGCCATAAAATAATAGTGAAACAATATAAAAATGCTGCAAATAAAAAATTCATAAAAAACTATGCATGAACTACAAAATAGAGGTCGAGATTTTTTTTTTTTTTAAACATCTTAGCTTCCAACAAGGCTGCAAGTAACCACTAATTAGAGTTGGAAGTTACTGGAAGAGAAAAGATGAAGATTGTAGAGCAAGATAACAATTGACAGACAACTTAAAAGAATGCAAATTATATGAATCAGGAAAGCAAGATGAAGGAAGTAACTTTTAAAGAACTGATATTCGAGGAAAAAAACCAGAGGAATAAGAGTTTTTGGGGCACTTAGGAACATTCACAGAAAAAGGATGAGATTTAATTGAATGACAAGTAACAAGAGAATGAATTTTAGTAGATGGCACAAGAGACGCTAGCTCTTTAGAGCAGTGCCAATTATGGTATTTATTGAAAAGAGAAAATAGAAGCAACATTTTGGCAATGTGATAATGGTTGAAGGTTGGCTGCAAGAGCAGGTCCAAATATGTTTACGATGCATTTTTGCACTTTGTCTGAAAGAGAAAGGATATCATTAGAAGATGTCATATCCGCCTCAGATATGGCAACAGTATTCCATACAAGGACAGATTTAAGATTTATAGAGAATCCAGAGTAAGAATCTGTCGAGCTCGATAAAGAGATAAGATATGATATAAATATCGATATGATAAGAGCTGCAACTTTAGCAAATACTAATTTTGCAACGGATTTTATATATGGTTTCCAAGGAAGATCGGAAGTACGAGTTAATCTTAGAAGATGAAGGGTAGATGACTCATCGAGTATATTACCGTTCATAAATATAGAAAGGTCTAAATTATTGTGATAAGGATTGGCTGAAAAAAAGTGAGTTTTATCTGAATTAAAGTTCACCAACCACTGTGAGCCCCATGCTGTAGCAGAAGTGAGATGGTGTCTTAAAGATGGTGGCTTATATGTGATAAAGCCATTTTTAAAACCATATGTACCTAAAAAAGTAAACCTAAAAAATCTTTTATAACATATTTGCAAGAACAATAATACATGTTTTATCTAAGGTATTTTAAATAAATTTCATATTTTATAATTAAAAAAACTTAAAACTGGTTTTTATTTAACAACTGAATTCAAAAAGCTGTTTAAATAAAACAAAATTGCGTGGTTAATTTAGATAAAGTAAAGACACATTTTAATTAGACTCAGATTTGGTATAAATGATCTATTTTTTAATTTACTTATAAATAAGAATACTTCGCTAACAATAAGGGCACTCCTTTTTGGTAACAATATAACAAATAGTTTTTCTTTGATAATAATAGTAAAAGTAAACCCTGATTGTAAAGATATAACAAATAGCTTTGTGTTAGTTAAAATTAAAATGAAATATTTTTAATAAAACAATTATTTAAAAAAAAAAAATCAATCAAGAAGTTAAAATTAAAAATCATTACTGGTTTTAATGATAAAAAGATTTTAGATAAAAAATATATAAATTAAAATACATAATACAAAATATATACTAAATAATAATGCTTAGAAAATAATGTTTTTAAATAATAATCCTTAGATTCTAAATAATAAAATTCCTAACAATAATGCTTTGCAAATAAAGATTTTAAATAATAAAATTCCTAACAATAATGCTTTGCAAATAAAGATTTTAAACAACTCTTGATAGTAATATAAAAGAACAATTAAACATTGACATGACAATGAAAAGTTAGAAACAATTCAACAGTAGTAAGTTTTCAACTATATGAATTTTAATGAATCTTTTAAAAAGCTGAACTGTTGTTGTTTAAAATTTAAAGGGTTATCATAAAAAAATACTTAAATAAAATAAAAAAATCAAACCTGCATTAGGTAAAAAGTTTTTAGATAAGAATATATAACATAAAATCATACCTCCTTTTAAAGGTAAAGGTTTTTTAGATTGATTTGAATCAGAGTTCGATTGGTTTTGTCTCTCAGATATGTTTGAAGATGCATCACCACATAAAATATATCTTATATTAAACAACTGTGAACTGTCACCCATAGACTGATTAAATGGTTGAATTAATTGTGAAAGATCTTTTATTAACCATGTAATATTAACACTTTCAATCTATAAATGAAAATCATTAATAACATTTTTTTAAGGGCACTACTATCTGTTTATTATACTATTTCAAGAAACACTGTCTGTTTATTGTATTATTTGAAGAAATACTACTATCTGTTTATTGTACTATTTGAAAAAACACTACTAACTATTTATTGTACTATTTGAAGAAACACTAGTATCTGTTTTTCTGCATTTAACAATTTTTTATTATTTTGTCAAGATTTTGGTATTTTTGGATATATTTGGTATTTTTGGATTTCATGTTTCTATCTGGATATTTTTCAACAGTGCAAGAAACAAAGAACTATATGTTTTAAAAGGCTACGATAAATTTGCTTCTCAGTGCAACAGCCTTGTTTAATAAGATTTAAGTTATAGAGCTAAACTTAAACAATTAAATGATATTGATTCTCGGGTTCGGTGAAATGAATGAAAAAAATTAAAAATATATAACAACAATACACTATGTTTGTCTTATAACTAAAAAATTTTAATGCAAGCCACTAAGTAAAATGTCAATAATAACATTTTTTTTTCATGGTCTCTTGTGTCTAGGAGCTCTTAAAATGTTGGTAGTGTCTGGTAAATGTTGGTAAAAATGTTGATTTATGCAATAAAAAAAAATTCAAAATACCTAATGACTAGTATTTATCATATTTTAGCCAGGAGTCCCAGAGTCCTTGTCACTATTATACATAAGGATTCCATGTTCAAAAATTTATTTTCTAACCTAAAAATCTTAAATATTTTTCCTTCAAGTATCCATAAGCTTATTTACATTTTTGGAGTTCTTGGATAAAACCGAGAAGAAATAATATTTTTTAAACCTTCAAATTTGGAGCCCTTTTTGGAACTTTGCATCCCTGATAGCAAATAAGCCTCAGTGTTTCTTAAACAAAATTCTACCCTCGTTTAACTGGAAACTAATAAGTAAAATTTGGTTTCATAAACGTAAACAAAAAAATATATATATTGTAATTTTTATGGATTCAGATAAAGTATAAATAATGGAAATAAATATAGATTACTAAAATATTTTAAAAACACCAATAAGTATACCTGCGAATAAAATGCATTTAGTTGAGTAAGCATTTTAACAAACATATTTTCAAAATCTTGAACTTGAGAAGAATTCTAAATAAAAATATAACACTTAAAAATGAAAAAACTTTATTAATAGCACACAATAAAAACTTTTCAAAAAAAGCTAACCCGTAGCACTGCTATGATTTCATTTTTTTTTGAAAAAACTAATAAAACGATTTGTTCAAAATGATTGCACATATCTGATACAACCAAACTCTAAAATAGAAGCTTAAATTCATTTTCAATATAAAAGTAAAGACTTTTTAGTATGACCACACAATCCGTCTTCTATTGCCTAAATTGAAACCTAAACTTAAGAATTAAAAATAAAGATTTTTATTTAATGTTTGAGCTTTCCTAAACTCATATCCTTTTACGGTAGCTATCTATACACACACTTCAACCCTTTGAGACTCTCTCACACCTTTGTGACTACCTGACTCATACAACCCCTAACTTTTTAAGTCTTTAAATCTGTCAATCGTTTTTTAGTTCTTTAACTTTATTCTTTGTTTTCTAGTCCCAACTTAATAGTGGTTGCTTGTCGCCTTGTTGGGAGTGAATTAGATTTTTAAAAAAAACTTAAATATATATAATAATGTAATATAATGCTAATATAATAATGTTTAATAATGTATGAGAAATTAAACAATTTACAAAAACTTTTTGTAATAAACAATAGCATGATGTTCATTGATGAAGAAAATACTTAAATATAAACATTACACTCATAAAATTGCTAATTCAAATTAAGATTCATATATAATAACAGGAATTAGAGTACTAGCACTAGAGTAAATCAGTGTGATGAGCTTCAAAGTCACCAATAACAACAATATTGACAGAAGGATAAAGAGAAAAGACTTCATTAATTTGATCTAAAACAACATCAAAAAGAATTCAGAAAGAAAACGAACAAAAAAAAAAGATTAAGTTATACATAAAAGATTCAAACCTGATTTTATAATAAATTAGTGAATTAATACATAAGCATTTCTTATGATTGTTACAATTATCTTTCAACCTTTAACTTGAAACACAAGTCTTGACAAATAAGGCAGCTCTAAAGACAAACAAGCTGAGCTAGATTACACCAAAAACAAGTTGGCAATGATAGCGCTCTCCCACCACACAACTATCAAATTATATGTCAAATAAAACCAAACATGTGACTATTAAAGTTTTTACAAGTAACAAACACTGAGATCCAAAGATAAAGCAGCAAATTTAAATTCAGTCTCACAAACACTGAGATCCAAAGATAAAGCAGCAAATTTAAATTCAGTCTCACAAACACTGAGATCCAAAGGATAAAACAGCAAATTTAAATTCAGTCTCAAATAGGAGTAGCAATATGTTTCAGGTGTAACTTATTTTGTAGAAAATGTTAAACCTGAAATATTTTATTTATGTAAAGCATTTTATAAAATAATAGTATAAAACTTTTGTAATTACAATAATACTCAGTATTTTAGGTATACCCTTAGGAAATAATAAAAAGGAGTTGTCTAAAGTGATGCAAGTAAAAAACTATGAGTAAGTTCAAAAAGATTGTACTCAAGAAAAAAATTAGCATCAAGAGTTCAATTAGCATCAAGTGGATTAAGTTGACTAAGCAAGATTAGAGGACTGAGTAAGATGAATGGACTGCGTAAACCTGTACTTTTTTCTTTTTACTTCTTTTCTATTGCATAGAGTAATCAAATTTAAGAAAAACACTTATAATCTTTTATAATAATTTCCTATAAAGGCCTTTATGCAGGATTAAAACTAACCGCCATTAAAACTAAGGTTAAAAGTAAGGATTTTAAGGAGATTTAAGGAGACATTTTCCCAAATTTTATGGAGATTTGGTTACAAGTGACTGTTTTTTACAGAAAAAGAAGGAGAATTAAGGAGAAAATAATTACATTAAAAAGAAAATCTTTTTTTTTAAATAAGTTGTAAATGTAAACAGATAAACTATTATAAAATTATAAGAAATATTCACACTTTTCCTGGAATTCAACCATAAATAATGGAGAAACACACATCAGACAGCAAACAACCAATGAAGACAAAGGGTTTTTTAATGATATGAGTACACATTAAGAAAAGCAACAAAGGAACAAATAAACTTTGCATCTTGAAAGGCTTGGGTTTTTATCTTTCTGAAACCAAGAATTTTAACTAACATTACTTAACTAAACTTTCCAAAACTGCTTTTATATTTAATCTAAAGGTAATTTGTTAAAATCATATAATGATCTAAAGGTAATTTGTTGAAATCATGATCTTTTGTATTCAATCTCAAGTTTTGTTACCCAGCTAAAAAGCACAAGAGGTTTTGACAATGTAAATCTCTTTTTAACAAACAGCAATGCAACACTTTCATATAAAAAAGCAAAAAATCAAAAATACAAAACTTAGATTTTAAACTTACTAATATATTTGGCAAAAAACAAAAAATTTGATAAAAAAAATTTGTAAAAAAAAACTATTAATTAAACAATTAAACAATAAAACAAGTAAAACCTTGTTAACAGCAACAGGAAAATCAAGGATGTCACCTAATGTGTCGTTTAAGCAAAAATGGTCTTTTAAATCCTATTTTTAAAAAAATATAGTTTGTTATCCCAAACATAAAAATTATAAAAAAAACTTCACCTTAAATTTATCAGTAATATATTAGATATTTAATTATATTTAGATGTTTAAAAAAACAACCAACCTGCATTAGATTAAATGGGTTTAATTTGTTCCAATCAAAATCTGCTAAATGAAGAAACGTCTCTTTAATCTAAAAATAATCAAACCAAAATTTACAGTAATTTCTACAAATCATAAGTTACTGTAATTAGATTTGTCAAACTTACTTAAATTTAAAAACATCTCAAATTTAAACAGAGTCTTTTAAAACACAAACAAAAAGTCATAGCAAAAATAAGTATACTTAAACACTGAACAACGCTATTAAAAATAAGCATAATTAAACACTGAACAGCGCTATTAAAAATAAGTATACTTAAATACTGAACAGTCCTATTAAAAATAAGTATACTTAAATATTGAACAGTCCTATTAAAAATAAGTATACCTTAACACTGAACAGCGCTATTATTAAAAATAAGTATACTTAAACACTGAACAGCCCTTTTAAAAACTTTTAACAGTTAAATGATTCTCAAAGTTAAAGATTCAAAAAAAAAATTTAATAACTATTTTAATTGAATTTTTAACTCTATTTTAAAATTTTTTCTTTTTAAATTAATCTTAATAATTTTCATAAATCAAATTTAAACATTAAAAAACCACAACAATTAATTACCTTAATTTTGCTCGAGAGAAGAGCTTGTACTGTGCTGTTGTCAAGAGTTATGTTTGTTAATAAACTTATTGCAGCATCTTTATTCAAAAAAAGCTTTTCAATAGGAAACTCTAAACAAAGAATGATTTTAAGAAAGAAAAAATTTTTAAATAAACTGCATTACAACATTGAATATATAAAAATTCTTCTTATGAATTTAATTTTTTTTAAAAGAAATTAATTTTTCATTTACCTGTTGTATTAAAAATGTTTGAAGTATTTATAAAATCAATAAAAACTGATGATAATTCCTTTGAAAGTACTTCAATATTACGTAAATTTGTTTCATTTGTTATAATTGGTCCAAAATCATGCACCAGTTTATATAATCTAAAAAATGTTTCTTGTTATTAAAAATCTGCTTAACAAAAATTACTGATATTTTGTAAATTATGCTCTTTATTTGCATACACGTATACTTTATATATCAAATGATAATGCCCTAGTTTATTTGAAAACCAGATTAAAACAGTAATTTGGATTGCTACACCGATTCTTAGAGATACCATAATGATGAACAAGAAAAGTTTGGACAAAGATAAAACCAAAGATTTGAAGTTTTTGGATGATCCAGGAAGCTATAGAATGTTTATCCTTAGAACTCATGATATAAATTTTATATCATCAGTTCTAAGGATAAACATTCTATAGCTTCCTTGATCATCCAAAAACTTCAAATCTTTGGTTTTATCTTTATCCAAACTTTTCATTCATATACTTATATACTGTTCTAAATTTAGTGTAAATTCCAGACTATTGTTTTTTTTTTGAATGTTTTCTTTCTTATACCTTTTCCAAACATTTTGCTGTATTTTAAAAATATAGAAAATGTTTAGAAAGGGTATAAGAAAGAAAACATTCAAAAAAAAAACAATAGTCTGGAATTTACACTAAATTTAAAACAGTATATAAGTATATAAATGAAAATAAAACTGAAACATATTTGAACCTGAAGACTTGACAAGGAGAAAAAAAATTCAGTAAAACCAATTACATGCACAATTTCTAAAGATATTTATAAAGGTAGTGCTGCTCTTGCAGCATGAATTAGTGTAATACCTCCTGCAGTTCTTTAAAAGGTTGTATGTTATGTTCATGATACTAAAGGTGCTTTAAAAGTCTTAAAATATCCATCTATCATTTACTTCAATAGTAAAATATTATTTGATAATATTAAAACTTTTCAAAAAGATAAATGACTTTTAGAAGAAACAAATATCATGGTGGAATTCATTGGGTGTTTTAATGCAAAAATATATAGGCAGTCTGGCAAGACTATCAAAGCCCATATTTAGATATTTTATCAATACATAAAATGCATCCATACAAAAATGTTTATGTCAAATCAGATGCTATTGAAACAGTATTAAAATCATTTTACAAACGTAAAAGATGTAAAACGTAAAACGTAAAGTGTTTAAAAAAATGATATCGTTTTCTTTGATGTTGTTTCAAGTTCTTGCTAGGCTAAGCTATAAACTGCATAATATGGTCAGCAAGAGATACTTTAAGGTTGTCAGATATAAAATTATGTCTGTAAAAGTTTAAAAATATATTACATATTGGTGTCTTGGATTGGGGTGTAATTCTAGTTGGTTGGGTAATAAATGGGGATAAAGAAAAGAAGCACATGTCAATCAAGAAAGTTGGATTATTACAAGAGTCAAAGTTCAAAAGATTAATGTTAAAGTCCCTTAAAATTTTTATTTTCTAAAGACAACTTGTCATGTAGAGTTTTTATAAAGTGATCATTAAACTCAACTGTGCACAGACATGACGTTAAATACATCCTACAATAATATTTTTTTCAGTGGGGAATAAGATATCAATGAAAATTGATTCAAGTTCTTTTAGTTTTAGAAATTGAAGTTCAGATATCAACTTGTACTTTAAGTCTGATTTTATATATCAAAGTGTACCTCCTCTGCTTGAATAACATTCAGCATGTTCAAAGATGTAGCTACTTAATGAAAAATCGGTTTTAAGTGTTGATTTTGCTTTAAGCAAATCTCAGATATTGCAATGATATTTGGTTTGTTTTTTATAATAGCTAGCAGACATCTAAGGTCATCAATATAGAAGATCAAAGATGATATATTAATATGAACAAAAATTATAGAACCTTTATTAATGATATTATTGTATGCAGTTGTATTATAGCATTTAAAAATTCTTTTAAGTTTAAAAAAATACTCTAAATACATTTTGATAGAGGATAAAGTTAGTTTAAAAGATACAGTAGATAAAATGGATATATTATATACTTACAAATCTTACAAATATCATGATATATTAAAATAGTAGTTAAATAATAACTAAATATTGTAGATAATTATGTTCGATATTATTTTTTTATTGTAGATGATATGTTAGATATTATTAGAATTATAAGAATAAATGTTGATATTATACTTGATATTAAAGATTAAATTAAAGTCTTATATAGTATAGGAATGCACTACTTAAGAGTCATCCATAAATTACATTATGCTTTAGGGAAGGGGGGGTAGAAGGGGTTTGTGTTTTGTGACGAATGATATAGGACTTGTTACTAAAGGGTCACAAAATTATGACAAGAGGGCGAGGGGTCAAAAACTGTTGAAAACTGCATAACGTAGTTTAATGATGACCTCTTAATATATACAATCTACACCAAACAGTACAAAATAAGAAAAAGATAAAATAATACAATATGATATAACACAATAGAACAATACAAAACAAAAAAAAACAATAAAATGATACAGAATAATATAAAAATATAAGGATAATATTAAATGATAACTCAAAACAGTAATAGTAAAATTTCTAAAATACAATGTAGCTATATAATTTGAAGTAGATAAATAATATATTGTTTAACTTATAATATAATAAAAAACCTTAAAAAATGGTTCACTTAAACTCATGTGAAAAATAAATTATATGTTCTTATGGAATCCTAAAATAAAAAAACAAATATGAATGATACTTCTTGCTATATTCTTTAACTTAAGTCCTTCAGCTCTGAAAATTCTTCAACTTTGCAGACAATAAAGTAGCTTTAAGTGATGATGAAATTACCATTAAAAAGTTAAGTATAATTTATTCTGTTATTAAAAAATCGATATCAATTTTTTTGTTATTGAAGATGATAAACCTGTTAAATAGTTTAAAATTAATAATTATAAATAACATCCAGCAACGCTAGTATTTAATATATTTCTAAATAACATCTACCATTGCTAGTATTTAATATATTTCTAAATAACATCTAGCATCGCTAGTATTTAATATATTTCTAAATAACATCCAGTATCGCTAGTATTTAATATGATCACTAATATTTAATGTGATTCAGTTTAGAAAAAACAACTGGCTGCCATATTTTTTTGCTTTATTTTTATTATTTTCATTTTTTTTTCCTTGCTCTTTTTCATAAAAAGAGTATGATTGTTTAAATAGGCAAATAATTCTCTGCAAAATAATTCACTTTTTTTGTATTTTAAACACTAGAGATTTTTGTATTTTAAACACTTTAAGAATACTTTTTTTAAACACTATAGTGTTTAAAATAAGATATTTTTAATAATATGTTTTAAGGTTGTAAGAACTTCGTGGAGCCCTTAAGAGCGCAAGGACTCCAAGAAGTCCTTAAAGACATATTACAGAGCACCACAGAAGCATCTGCCTCCCTCCTTACCATATATGGCCAGAGCTACCTACAGTTCTGAAGCCAGAACTCTATCCACTGCACCACAGTTGCTAATATATTACACAATATAACAGCAAAAGTATTCTAATTCTGTCTTAACTACCTTTTTTATTTAAAAATATAGATTGACAACTATATTTAGTACTATATTTAATACAGACATTTTTGGAGTTTTTGACTGTTTTATAAGTTTACCCTGAGAAAAGCAAAAGAGTTATTCGATCCAACTAACTTTTTTTACTTAACCATTTTTAACACCAATAATCCAGATTTCAAGAGATAGTTTATTGAAATTCAAAATGCAAGTAATGTAACAGGTTTTGTCAGTATAGGAAATGGTTGTGTTTATTTAATGACTACAAAATTAATTGTGCTAATTTATTGACAAAAATAACTGAAATTCACTAACCCTAAAATCAAAAGATATTCACAACACTTTCAAAAGATATTCACATCACTTTCAAAAGATATTCACATCACTTTCAAAAGATATTCACATCACTTTCAAAAGATATTCACATCACATTCAAAAGATATTCACATCACTTTATAAAGATATTCACATCACTTTCAATTCATCTCATAACAAAGTCATCAAAACCTTTAACAAAAAATATGCTAAAACAACGAAAGAGAGTAAAGACAACTTACAGAAACTTGCTTTTAAAATGAATATAAACAAAAAACCTGTCCTGCGCATATATTAGTCTTTAAAAAAACCGATAAGAACTTAGTATGATTAAACTGTCATTACTTTGATTTCAAAAAAAGACTGGGAGCATCATACCACGAAAAAAAATTTCAATGAATACTTGTTTTCAAACATTTTAATATGAAATAATGAAATGATTTAGTTAAACTTGCATAAAGTTTTGTTTTTAATAAGGTATAAATTATGATAGATGCAAAGAGGTTGTGAAGGTATTATTTTGAAGCATAAACAGATTGAATTACAAATTGAAAGAAGTGGTCTCAGAATGATTGAATCACGATTGGAAGAAGTGGTCTTTAGAACTCAGATTGAATCACGAGAAGAGGTAATAAAGGAATCAAAAAAGATTTCAGAAGATTATCTTAACCATAGTTTCAAATTTTTTCTCTTTTTAAAATTACTTTATAGAGACCAAATTCTTCAGATAAAATTTGAACTATATGATTTGGTTTCTATAAAGTAGCCCTTATTCTAACCCAATTGAACTTCTATTAGATGAACTGGATAGAAAATATGGCAGGCATAGCAGGCATCAATCAAAAAAAGTATGTGAAGCATCTTAAAAGTTTAACAAATTGGTACCTTGATTGTATGGAGTTTTAAATTTCATATATTTCTAACTTTAACTTTTTTTATATATAATCTCAAATATTGCAGTGTATTTTAATGTTATTAGCACAAGTTGATGTTTAAAACCTTAAAAATAAAATATTTAATAAAAAAAATCTTACATTGTTTGTGAAATATCTGGAATATCTTGTGGTTTTGTGAAAAAGCGGTCTAGTTTATAATTACAAAACAGTGATTGAACAAAGGGTAGAGCTCCAGCAGATGGAAGTGCACGTGGTGCAAAGTATATAGACCCTAAAAAAAAAAATTTTAATTATAATAATTTTAAACAAATTAGCTATTAGAACTTATATAAATTTAATTATCATTTGAGTTTCTGTTTCAAAAAAACTTGAGAGATAAATGTGGTAACGATGTAGTAATAGAGTTCAAATCCCACCATATCCCTGGAATCCATATTCACCACATTCCTGTAATCCACATCCACCACACCCCTGGAATTGCATTAGGGCATAAATAAAACACTTAATAATGATAATTTTCAAAAATTATCATTAATAAGTGTTTTATACTTTAGTTGATATTAGTTTTTAGAAATGACTGTTTCTTTTTTTTGTTATAGGAAATGTGAAGATATCACTATCAATTGCAATAACTTTTAAAACTGATTATAAATAAAAAATTAGAATCAAAATGATCAATGCTATAGCAGGGTTGAGTCTGAACATGAAAAACCTGTATCTCTCTCAAAAAAAAATCTTGGTATATATATCTATAGGTGTGTAACCTATTAAGCTTAAATCAGTGCCAAAACACCAAAGGTTACCAGCTGCCAAAAGAAAATTTAATTAAATTACTGAAGCAACAACAAACAAAATAAATGAAGCTTTTAATATTGATTCTATCATTAGATTAATACCATCTTGTACACCACTAACTTCTTCAGTTGATAACCATATAATTGATGATCTAAACTTACTTTTAAATGAATTAAAAGATAAACTAAAAAATGTGACATCAAAATTTGCAAAAATACAGATAAATTAACTCCAAAACCAGCAGAATTTTTTAATGTATCTATTTACATTATACGAGAGGCTAAAAAAGCTAATAAAAAAACAAAATTTTGTATGTGGTATTCCCATGAAACCATTGATCTTGTTCACAGCAGTTGATAAACAAGATCAACCATTGATCTTGTTTATCAAAGTGAAGAGCAAATGTGAATGATGTCTTGAAAAAAAGATTTTGTCAGTATAAGGTACAAGCAACACATGCAAGTAAGACTAATATTGATTAATTTAAAAGAACTTTGTGTAACATTTAAATCTGAACACTCTAATTTAAATGTTGGATTTTCAAAGTTTTGCAGCCTTCACCCAAGATGGTGTGTAACATGAACTCATCTGGCACTCACAGTGTGTGTCTGTATCTATCATCAGAATGTTAAGTTATTAATTGATGCTCTTAAAATTGACAAAGACTATAGATATTTAATGGGAATGATTGTTTTCAATATATATATATATATATATATATATATATATATATATATATATATATATATATATATATATATATATATATATATATATATATACATATATATTGCAAACAATCATTCTTTTAGACCTCAATCTTTTATAAGTCAGCATCGGGTTGGCAAAAAAAATTTGATACAATGGTCTTACCATAAAACACTTTTAGGTCAGCAGTTGAGTTGGCATTGCCTAATGCCGACCCTAGCAAAAACAGCAAAAATAATATTGTGGTATGCAATATTAAGTAAAAATATTTAAAAAAAATAAAAACCAGAACTCTTCCATTTGTTTGCATGAAATTTAATAAGAACTAAAAGTTGCTAGTCATATGTAAAAAAAACAATGAAATGTAATTTTTGTGAAAAAATACAATTCTGCAGCTAATGTTACAAAAAAGCAGTAGAAACTGATGAAGATTTTAGTTCAAAGGAGGATTGGGAATCACAAAGCAAGAAAAAGTATAAATTTTATATCTCTAAAGAACTGTCTGGGATCTGACTAGCAAAATGTCTACAGCAAAACAAATGTTTGAGGATACTATAAACAGAATTGCAAAATAAGTTTTGTTGGCATATAATATTGAAAAAGCTTCTTTAAAAACAGAAATAAACCGCTCCTTTTCAAGCATTAACATAAAGAATTTTAATGTATGAAATACAATAAAAATGACAGCGACTGACTCTTATAGCTAAAAGGTACAAATGTAACTCACTTGAGAACCATGGACTCATAAAAAGATATCAAATTACTTTGAAGCATCTGAGTAACTTGTTTGAATTTTAATAAAAATTAAACAAAGGAATCTATTATTTCCAGGAAGAAAAAAAACCTACATTACCAGAAACAGTTAAATTAGTGATACCAGGGGAAAAAAAGATCTTGTAAGTATTAGGAAAAACAGATTCAAAAAAGGTTATTGCTACTAAATCTTAATCAACTCCATGTTGCATTTAAAAAAGAAAATTCTAATGTCAAAGTCAGTTTGTCAAAATTTTGCACTCTAAAGCCTAATTGGTGTATCACAACTAATGCATCAGGTACTCACAATTTATGTATTCATCATCAAAATACAAAATTTTTTCATAAATACAATTTGGTGAAAAAGTTAATATAATTTTATGGTTTTAATTTTTTGTTTACTCGAAAATGCAGCAAACATTCAAAACATGTTTAGAGCAAGAGTTTATAGACTATGAGCTGAAAATAGAAGTATCATTCAAGTAACGGCTGAGTACTAATTGTACAACATTACTATGATAATAATAAATACTGTTACAGCATAAAAAAGTACCTTTATTTGCAGGAACAAATATTGGAGCTTTTCTTCCACGAACTGCAGCTAATATGAGAAAAATTCCAAGAGGCCACAGAATTTCTACAATGTTACGCAACTAAAGAATAACAGAAACTGATAAATTGACTTGAACATAAAATAATATCAGTTAATTATAATTCAACATTATATATAAAAAAAACATACTATCTGCCTTTTGCGAAGGGAAAAGTTTTTCCATAAAAGTAAAAAAACTTTATTCCAGAATTCTGAAATATTCATGACTGTATTTTTTTCAATTAAAAAGCTGGTATATTAGTTTTTAAACATGTCTTTAAATGTAAAAATGTATTTTTTAAAGGTGTTAAAAAATTCTTGCAAAGAATAAAACCATAAGGAAAAAACAAACTTAATCACAACCAATACATTTTTATAGCTCTAAAAATAAGAATAAAAAATATATAATTTTGATTACTTTATTATAAAACTCTACCTTAAAAAAAAAAAATTTAAACAAATTGTACAAAAAACATTTCTTAGATTCCTCCATAAAGAAGTATAGCACTAATTTTAATTTCTAAAATGTATATCTTATGAAAAGTAGTTTTCCAGTATTCGATATCCATTGTTAAACAATGTATAAACAATTTATTTATACTTCATCAATAAAAAATAAAGTTACAGTATGTAATAGCAACAACATACAAACAAACAATAGGTATGACTTTGACGTAATAAACATGACTTTTAAAAATTCCAAAAACTTACTCTATATATATATATATATATATATATATATATATATATATATATATATATATATATATATATATATATATATATATATATATGTACGTATGTATGCATGTATGTATGTATGTATAACAAGTATAGAGACAGGTGCTCGTGAAAAAACAAATAAAAATTGTGCTAAAGTGGCAAAGCATATGATATGCTGCTAAACGTAACACTTTGGCCTGATTATAAAAATTTTTATATTGTTTGATATTGTATATTGTTATCTTCAGTTAAAAAAGTTAAAAACTCTGAAAAAATAAGAAATTTATGGTTGTGTGCATTAATTATATTATTAATAAATTTGTATGTTGAATTTAAAAAAATAGGTTTTAACGGAAGTAGCATCCAGCTTTTTCATAAACAATCACTACTAACAACAAGTTAGCAATTGCAATTCTCCGCCGCATTTAAATAACCTTATGACGGTTTCTCCACGCTATGTTAATGGAAATCGAAAATTCGCTTATAATTTATGAGTAATATCTAGTTTCATTTTAACTTTTTGATTTTTTTTTTTTATTTAAAAAAATCGCGGTGGAAACGGCGATATAAATGAAAATTTCTAATCAGTAATACGAACTACGCTTTTAATTTAAAATATTTTTAATTTATTATTCAAAAATTTTTTTTTTTTTGCAAAACAACCTACGAAATCTATTGAATAAATGAGATGCATTTTTTTGGAAAGCCTGGAATCTAATTAATAAATGATTAAACAGCATTTTCTGCAGAAAGTTCAATAAAACTTATTACATTTATAATTACACCATATTTAGAACGTTTACGCATTATTTGACAATTCGATATTTTGAAAATTTTGTAAAATTACGATTTTTTAAATGTTCTGTAAAAATAAGATTTTAACATATTTTTCATTATTGTTAGAGCCATTTTTTTAAAAATGTCTGTGTTACTTGAGCTGTTGGCAACCACTCTATCTCCAGACTTAATATTTTAACAAACTTTAACTAATAGTATTAGTTAAAGTTTGTATTAGTAATACACCTTTCAGGGGCGGATCCAGCATTTTTTGGTGTTTGAGATAGCTAACTTCCAGACATGGAGCAAACTCCAAACATTTATATGTTTATACTTATATCAAATAAGGATGGTTTGCAAAAAATTGCAATGATTGGAGCCTGGGAACAAAAAAGCCCCAAAATTTGAGACGTTCCTGCCCCAAACGTGAGAGCAACAAGTTGATAAAATATTTTTTGTATTATTCTCAACAAGACTTACATTTATCCATAAATTTTAAATTTTATTGTAAAATATTTCAGCGTTCAAAAATTATAACCATGTAAAGTTTGAATCCCCCTCAATTCGAGGGGGTTACAATTTTTATATGGTCATAATTTTTGAGCGCTAAAATATTTTACAATGGAATTTGAAAATTATGGATAAATGTAAGTCTTGTTGAGAATAGTACAAAAAATATTTTATTAACTTGTTGCTCTCACGTTTAGGGTAGGTACGTCTCAAATTTTGGGGCTTTTTTGTTCCCAGGCTCCAATCATTGCAATTTTTTGCAAACCATCTTTATTTGATATAAGTATAAACATATAAATGTTTGAAGTTTGCTCCATGTCTGAAAGTTAGCTATCTCAAACACCAAAAAATGCTGGATCCACCCCTGCCTTTAACACTGACGATAAAACACGTTTTATTTTAAAACAGTAGGGCATTTCCATTTCTGTGCGTGATTTTTTATTTTTCTTTGTTTTAGCAATTAAAAGCTGGGACTTATGCGATATGCATACTCTTTTGATTTTCTTAAAGAACAATTATAACAAAAATATTTTTATCATATTTTAGGCTATCTGAATGAATTAAATATACACATTTTTACAATTTTATTTTTTTGAGTAATAATATCGCTACATTTAAAAAAAATATACAATAATTTTCAAAACGCCATACTCTAGCTTGAAATAATTGATGACTTGCCAAAAATATATTAAATATAAGTTGTAGAAGTATTTCACATGAAATACTAACAAGCAATTTATTTTCATAAAAATAACTACATGAAATTGACAAATTCGCAACATCCGCGCGTGACTTCCGTGCGTGATCATTCATAAACTGTATTTAAACGATTGCTGTGACTCTATGATTCATAGCGCAATCCTGTAGCTTTCTGGAAATCTTTACTAATGTTTAAAATATTATAAAAAAAAAAAAGTATACCGCTGAAACTTATATTTTCCGAGGAATTAAAGTTTATTTATCTAGTAACTAAAATAGAAGTTTTTCTGCTCCGTGCGTGATTCCATTTCAAACTTTATTTATTTTTTGTTAACATTACTAATGCTTACTATTTTTTGTTTACAAAATATCTATATTGATTAGAAATAAATAAGAGTAAATTGGAGATCGCTAGTTTTATTTTTATGAAAATAAAAGTAAAAACATATACGAGTTTCCGTGCGTGATTTTTTGGAAATGCTCAGTATTAAATTGTTATTCTATTCTGTCATTCAAGAACACCCAAATTGAAAAAATTGAACTTTTTTAATTAGGTTTAAAAATTCCTTATAAGATTCCTTATACTTTGCACCTTCGAAAATCTTTTATAAATGATTATTTGTCCTAAAGTCATAACGAACATAATAAAGTAGTTGATATAATAGACTAGTTGAGCTAGTTGCCTCTCTTTGAGCTCTGTAGTTTTTAAGGCACTTTTTTTTTTGTAAATATTAAAGTGTAATCTTGAAGAATGTAAGTTAACACCTTGACAAAAGCGTAACGTGAAGAGGTCTACCTTAAAAAAGGTTTCCTCTTTAAATTAAAGGGCAAAACCTTTTTAAAGTAAAGTTTATGTTTATAACGCTTTTTGTCATTTTTTAATAATAGATGTTTTTTTTTACTATTTTACCACTTTTACATTTTCTTATTTTATATAAACGGAATTCCTTTTTTTTTTTTTAATTAAACTTTATATTCACGGAATTTATCAAGGAGCTTGGCGATAAGACATATTAGTCTTCTTCTCGCCCCTGCTACCTATATATCTTGTTAGTAACTTACGGATTGTCTATATTTACACAGGGAAAAAAAAAACTATTAAAATGATTATTTATTTATCATTGAGTGTGATCAGTGGCGGAACTACTGGACGCAGGACCCTGCGTTGCGGGAGGGCCTACCAGCTATAGGGAGCCCTCATATAAAAAAAGTTATACTCTCAATAATATTTATACTATAAAACTCTTTTCCGCAAAAAAAAACATTCTTTTGCGGGGAGGCCCAAATTTTGAAGTTCCGCCACTGAATGTGATATTAATAAAAAAATGTTTCTATTTATTTATTTTGACAATAATTTATGCAAAAATTCATCATTTCCTTGAGTGGCAAAGTTTGTATAATAATCTAAAACGGTAGTTTAATTTTTTTTTTTTTTTGTTTATGTAAAGTTCCCTGAAAAAAAGTTGTAATATTTTTGTAAAACGTTTTTATCTTCTTAAGAAATTAAAAGAGTTTAGTCTTAAAAAAGTTTTCTTTTTTTTTTTTTCATAGTAATTAATACTTACCAACCTACTAGCCCCAACAAAATGCGACGTCCCCAACAACAAATAACCAATGTTGGTACAACGCTGGTTTTTTGTCAAAGTGTAATATTTTACGTTAATTCAACGTTGTAGTTTAAGCAGGCTTAACGTTGCACTTATTCACGGACCAGACTTAAGAAAATGAAACAAACGAAAAAAGTTGCTCTTGTTTTGTCCGCTGCAAAATGGCACTTGTCAACGAAATTCCGCCTGTGTGCTGTCATCTGTTAGCTGATTGCTCATGTCATGGCATGCCATGACTCCAGACTCCTTAACTGTTTGCTGTGGTAGTATAGTTCGTTTCGTTTTTAAGACATGTAAAATTAGAAACACTTTTTAGCATTGTTCGATCTTGCTTGCAAATATTTTGTCCAATACTATATATATATATATATATATATATATATATATATATATATATATATATATATATATATATATATATATATATATATATATATATATATATATATATATATATATATATATATATATATATATATATATATATATATATATATATTACTTTTGATCACAAACTGTTTCAACGAACTGTGGTAAAAATTAATTAACAATTAACTATTGTTTTTACAGAATTAAACTCAATGGAAAAATAAGATTAATAGTATGTTAGATAGTGGGGTTGATAGATTTTAATATATCAGATCAGTAAAAAAGTGATTTTGTGAACGAGTTAAAAAAGAAACAGAAAGAGACATACAGAATCAGGCCACGGTTTGAGGCTAGATTCATGAATTTATTGAATGTTGATTTTAAGTTTTGAAAAAAAAAATCTTTTTGCAGTTCCTTCATTTAATCCCGTTAGTTATACATTATATATTTATACTTTTCAATAATCAATATGCAGTGCCATATGTATTCAATGTAATGTTGGAGATGGCAACATTTAAATGTTAATCATTTTTTACAGTCCTCTTCAACAAGAATGGGTTTCTTATTATATTGAGGTTGCAAGATTTTAAACCTTTTTTAAGGTAACAGTACAATAACTAAATCATTTTCTTTAAAGACTAGTGAGTACATCAATCTTATCAAGTGCATGACACTTGATAAGATTGTCAAAATGTATAAAAATGTGGGGCCGTCTCCCCTCCTGCATTTCCTCCTAGAATCAATGCATTGAATCAGATACTACTGCTGTCAAGTCATTAAGGTTTCATGTTGCTGTAAAAGAAATTAGATAATTTTTAAAGTCTCGTATATTTACAGGAAGAGGGACATCTAGAGTGGATTTTTCTGTTAGATTCTACTGGACAAAAAAAACAAATTCGGAGAATCTATGTAGCCAAAAATCTACAGATGAGCTGCTGACTGCTGCAATTATACGTCTAAAGATGAGATTAAAAGATGCACAGGTTTTCAAGGAAACACTCAGAGATAAAGTAAATGGTGCAGTACGGTTGGGTAGTTTTTATATTCATAATTAAGCACTAGCTTTGTAATTAAAAAATACCTACCAAACATTGTGGGGTGGAACCAAGTAAATAGAATCTAGCAAAATGTATCCTTATATAGTTGAGTAAGCGAGGCAAAAGAAAATTGAGTCTGGTATATGTAATACAAAAGGAAAAAAAATTCCAAAAAGTTAAGTCTGAAATCAAAATGTGAGGACGAATTAAATATATTTTCACACAAAGTGATTGTTTACAAATTTAAAGGTTTTTAGTAAAAATAAAAAAATAAAAATGAAAACAATTTTGCCCACTTTCCCAGCCCAGCTAGCACACATACATTGGGCCAACGTACGTAGAACCATCTCGAACCTCGATTGTTTTCCAATGCAAATCCAACGTTGATCCAATGCCATGTTTTAACCAATAATATAGATAAAAGACTAGATACCGACGCAACTAAAAACAGTTTGCACAGATACATTGGGATCAAACGATCAGATCAACGATGTAAAATCACCGCAAAACTTGATTTTTTTTCGATCTTAACCAAACGTTGATCTAATGTTAATAACACAACGTTGATTCAATGTATATGGATTACAATACAGAACAGAATATGAGAACAGATATATATAAAAAATATTATCACTATTTAGTTCCGATAAAGTAAGATCGAGCCAACGTAAAACAGAATTGAACAAACTTAAAATACAATGTTTTGCCAACGTTAGTTTTTTGTTATTGGCAACGTAGCATTTGTAACCAAAACAATATAAAATAATGATGGCAACACAACTGTCAACATTGTTCTGTAAAATGTTGCGTTGTTAAGCCCATTTACTGTACAGTGTTGCAACTTTACGCCCTGAGGATGGTTTCAAAGGTTTATGTGAATGGAATCAACCCCCTTCACCCCAAAGAAGGTCATATTTAAATTATAGTTAGTTTTTTCAGGAATATAGACGGCTGATTGGCATCTGACACATTTCAGTCGGTAGAATTTGAGTTTTGAGGAAATTTTTTTGTTTAGAAAGCAGTCAGTTCTTTTTAAGGATTCTCCTCCCCCTGTGTTGTTCCTTAAATTGCTCTTGATTAAATATTTCAAACGACCTGTTTATATTTTAGACTTTTTACAATTATAAAATTTCAATAAATAATTCAAAAAATATAAAATAATTACTTTAATTAAATAAAAAAAATCAACTCTTAAACAAAAATAACACTTTTAATAACTTTTACATGTCTTTTTAAAGTTGTTCTAATTGTATTCTTACAAAGAGTAATGAGACAACTGCTATAAAAATAATGTTCTAAACCATGTTTAGCAATTCTGTTACATTATGGAAGGTTACAAAGTTTAATAAAAATGACTTGTTGAAAAAAAAAATCTAAGCCACGAGACGCTTTTTTTTTCGTTTCCATTCAGTTCGGGTGAGAAAAATTTAATTTTCTTTTTTACTTTTTTTTAGGAACTGAGACCAGACTATGTTGTTACCTATCGGCGTCATACGAGCAAAAAATTTTTCTTGAGAAAAAAGTTCTCCATTTTTTTTCAAAAAAAATGATAAAATAATTCTAAACGAATAAAAGTTGATCGTTATCAAAACATTGGTTATGAAAACTTTTGTTTAAAGTCTGATATTCATATTTTGATCTTTCATTGTCCGAAGGATAAAGATATTGTGAATTTTGAAAATATAAACCATCTTCAGAGAGATTTTTTTTTTGAATAATGTTTTCAACGCGTGGACCAGCAACAAGCTGAGCCCTTCTTTGATATTTTATAGAATTTACTTCATCGAATTTTAAGTCTTGCAAAAGCATTAGGTTATTTTTTGCTGAAGAGTTTAATGGTTCAACTGGTTGATGAATACTTGGTGTCGAACACTGAGTAACAATAGGGCTATATTCTTGGTCATCAGATATACCACTATCTGTTTGATCTATTTTTTGTTCATCGTATATTCCAGAAACTGATTTATTTTTAACATTGCATGCAGAGACAACATCGGTTCTCTCAGTATTCCACCCTGACATATATCTTGAGCTGTTTGTTAACCTTGATGATGTTCTGTTTGTCAATCTTGAAGGTGTCTTGTTTGTTAATCTTGATGCACTGTTTAATGATCTAGATGAGATATCAGTCATGTTATTTTCTAAATAATTGTTCCCAACTGTAAATGCTCCCTGGCCAAAATTATCATAGTAACTAGAATAATTTGGTATATATTTATCGTTCGGCACATATTTAGTTTGACTCTTTAAAAAAGTACGACGTAGTTGAATTCTCATATAAAAATATCGCACCAAAATAATTACTATTGCTGTTGCGAGAAAACCCCCAATGTATACTAAACAAAAAAGCCACACTCTGGCTTCACATTTCCATTCAACTTCTTTACTTTTTGATATTACTCCGGGTTCATTAGCTAAAGGTACTTCTAAAGCTATTCTATTGTTGCTGTTAAATGGAACAGGTAAGAAGCAAGAGTTTTTATTATTTGATGTACAGGTGGCAACAGTTTGAGTAAAGTCGTAGTTTTTTCTATGAAATTCTAACTCTATATATACATTAACCGGTAAAACTTGGATGTCATTAAATAAAGTAAAAATATACACGTCATCTCTTTCAGCTACTAATTCCAGTTCACCTTCATTCTTTTTTGAGCTAGAGCAGCACGATTTTATTTTAAGATATGTTTCCGACTCTTTCCTTTGCGACCAAATAGTAAAGTTTTGTTCTCCGACAAACACAAACATTTCTATTTCGTCATCGGTAACTATTTTGAATCGAACATAACTCCCTTTGAGAAATTTAAATTGTCTTTTCCAAAAAGAAGAGGGAAAAATTGTTGCTCGTTCGCTTTTTGCATATTTAAGTGTATTTTGATTAGTAATGAGTTTAAAATTAATTATTCGAATTCCACTCTCTTCGCTAGATTTTGCTGTTATCCCACCACAAAATTCAGATAAAGAGTCTAAAAGCAAGACATCGGCCTGATTAAGATATTCTTTTTCTGGATAATGCCCAACATAATAATGAATAAAACCCCCAACTGCGCAAAAAACAGCAACAATTAATATCAATATAGCTAAAATCCATTTAGTTTTTTCCACTTTTAGTGTTGCAACGTTTGTATTTTGTTCTGTTGTTACAAAACAGATATCACGAGATCGTTTGTTGTCCGAGTATTTATTTTCTAAAACAATTGATTTTTCAGTGGATGGCTTCATAATACTATTTTCATACGCAAGATTATTTGCTTTGTGTTTTGATTGGTCTAAGTCTCTGTTTGCCACGAAAGGTATCTCTAAGTTTTTTACATTGCTGTTTGAACCAGAAAGACTGTAAGAAGAAGTTCTATTTACGCTGCTTCTACCTAGAACATTATGTTGGTCGGGGGCAAGTTTTGCTGGCATCGTAGAGTTTTTTGACAATCTTGAAGAGCTTCCGGTATTTCCGATAAAAGTCGGAGTAAATTGACTTTGACGATTATAGTAAGAGGGCATCTTTTCAGATTTGTAATGATTTTCCCCGCCATTTTGTTTTCCAGGGTTATTTTTTAAACTATTTTGGGTTGAATTGGGCTCTAAGAAGGCACTAAAGCTTTTCTTTTGACTTACCACGTTCGATAATCGGTAAGATGGAAAAGCTTGATTTGTTTCTATTTTATAACCTTCGTTTTCACTGTTCGACAAATCGCTGACTCCACTTTCACTTACATTTGACCAGTTGTTTTTACTGGAATTACCATTCTCAAAATATTTCTCATCAATGCTCGGTGAGAGGCTTTCAAGAAATCTGGTATTTTGTTTTAACGGTTTTCTCCTATGAATAACAAGTTTAGAATTATTAAGCCGAACTTCTTCTGTAATCTCTTCAGCTTCTCCCATAGCTATTTGTAAAGATCGATTTCTTTTTAAACGAGTAGCATTTGGCTGTTTATGTTTCTGATCTTTGGTTTTCGTTGTATTTTCATATAATTCGCCATTATCTGCTGTTTCACTCTCTTAAAAAATAAATTTAAATTGATAGTATATTGAAACTCGCAATTGTTTTAAATTGTGATTATAATAGTTTTGAATAAATTAATATTATTAAAACATTAAAATGTTTATCTTTTGAAACAAAAACATTTTAAAAAAGAAAACATTAATTTTTTATTTATGTTTGCAACTTAAACAATTGGCGGCATGTAAACGTTGACTCACGCTAACTTAGTTTTAATTCAAATAAAAAAACAGTTTTTCGATCATAAACGTTATAATCAAACATTTTTTTTCTTTTTTGCGTTTGCTAGAATTGCAAAAATGTTATTTGATGCATTTGAAATATTTGCTTAATTAAAGTATTATTTTTTAAATTTAAGACTTTGTTTACTACAAATCAAAAATATTTACCTGACCGGTAAAGATTTTAGAAAATCGTTTGTGTTTACCTTCATTTGTCAATTCAAATTGCAATTCGTTTTCAAAAGTTGAGTGAAAAGTGTCTTCGAAATATTCATTTGTCAAGTTATCTTTTTGCTCAGAATCACTGAATGATCCAAATTGTCTTAATTCGTTTCGACTAGACGTATGTTTTAACATCCTGTTAAATATTATAACAATACTATTGCTTCAAACTTATATATATATATATATATATATATATATATATATATATATATATATATATATATATATATATATATATATATATATATATATATATATATATATATATATATATATATATATATATATGTATATATATATATATATATATATATATATATATATATATATATATATATATATATATATATATATATATATATATATATATATATATATATATATATATATAATAAAGTTTGAGAAACGCAAGTAAACGCAAGCAAATGTTTGTATGTAAGTAAATATATGTTTCTACTAAAAAAGTAACTTTTTTAGTAGAAATATACATTTAAAGTATGAGTCAAAGAACTATATTTTAACTTATGAATCAATAAATACAAAATTAATAATTTGAATTCCTTTTTTTTATATGAATCCCGACTTTATAACATGAATATAAATTGGTTTTTGTGGTAGGTTTGTGGTAATTTGTTCTTCCGAAAATGTGAATTGATAAACGTTATACGTTTTTTCAGAGTATTTTAAATTATTAACTGGCTAATGAACGTCAAACTTTCACAATCAACGTTACGAAAACGGCTCAAAAATGTCTAACATTATTTGCGTGTAAATGTGTTGCCATTTTTACTTCATAAATAAAGATTTTATATATATATATATATATATATATATATATATATATATATATATATATATATATATATATATATATATATATATATATATATATATATACATATATACGTTTTTTTCTATATGAACACGAGCTCAAATTCATCCCGGTAAAACCCATAGTGCTAAACGTAGAAATCAGATCAAAACAAATAGCATAGATAATTTAATATTGTAATATTTGTTAATTTTTGTTTTTTGCTTTTATATTACTTTATCATTAATAAACATTTGATCATACTTTTGTCATAAAATGTTATAATCAAGTGACATATCAATCACTTGCTTATAATTATTACAATTATTTTTATTCGCTTTTTATTTTAACAATTACTTTTTATTATTAATATTATCATTATTTATAGTTGCTATTATTATTTTTTATTATTTAGCATTGTTTTTTTTAATGATTTGTTATACATAGTTATAAAATTTTCATACATCCAAAGCAGAAATGTAATATTTTGTCAAATAAATTTTTTCTGTTTTTTTAAGCCGGTTCTGAATTTTTCGCCGACAAATTTAAGTATCTAGATCATAAATTGAAAAAAAGTTTTATTACTGTTTAAAAAGTTATTACTTATTGTTACACAAATATTAATATTTATTAAACTTCGGTACCGAATTTTAACAAATTACTATTCGCTATTCGTTTAATGAAAACACTATTCGCTGGTGCTTACTGATGTTTACTTAAGAAATTTTTACCCACATATTAGGTATTTAAGATTCGAAAAAGTGGCATGCATTTCTTGATTCAGAAATGGCCAAATCCGTTTGTCTGACTGACATAAGGATTTCTTCATTTTAAAAAGCACAATTTTTTAATGTTAAAAATGTTACATTAGCAAAAAAAGTGCCATAGACACTTTTTTTACCACGATACAGAAATAAATTCGTCCAAAATCAAAAAATTAATTGCTTTAACTACTTTTTCATTTTTAAAAAATTTGTAGTTGTTAATTTTTATACATTCTTTAACTTAATAGATTTTATACTAAAATATTAGATATATAAAATATTAGATTACTTTATAATAGATGTAATATTCTCAAGATATATATGATAAGTAAATTTTCAAAAGGCGGTAACTCCGAGTAAATTGATTTCGAGAAATCGACAAAAAAAACTGGATTACTTATAGGCACACAGTAACAAAAATTTATATTTTTCTCTTTGGACCAAAAGTCTTTTATTATATCTAATACTTAAATAGATTTAAGTATATAAAGTTTGGAAATGGAAGAAATTCAAAATTTTTACTTTTGCGACTTAGCGCTTTTTAAAAATTCATTCCTCATATTTGCTGATATTTTTCAAATATGCATAATATGGAGTTTTTATTTGTTTCAACATGTTTTGCCACACGGTTTATTTTTAAATTGAATTTCAAATTAGAAACCATTTATTAGCCACGTAGTCTGTAATAAATGCGGTGAAGATTCTATGTAACCTACTGTTAACGCTAACATTGGGCAGATGCTAGCGTTAGCAGCAGATTACATCTATTATGTCAAGTAGCGGATATTTAACAAACGTACAGCGGAATTGGCAGACCAGCAGCCGTATTTACTTCTCTCCGTTAAACTTAACGGAGCTTTTGCCTGAAATTTCGTTTCAATATTTCTAAGTAAAGAAATGACCAAAACTTTAAGTTTATTTAAATAAAACACTAAAATAAAACATTTATGTTTAAAAAACTATATTTTTAAAGAATTGTTTAATTTATGTAGTTAAAAAGAAACAATTTAATATAATTAATTAACTCATAATACTCCGTTAAGCTTAAGAGATGAGAATACGTTAACCGAGAGATGAGAATACGGCACCAGTGTAGTAAAAGATTTTTACTTCCAGTAAAAATCTTAAAAATCATATTTAATTCTTAATGACATCATTATCATATTTAATTCTTAATGACATCATTATCATATTTAATTCTTAATGACATCATTATCATATTTAATTCTTAATGACATCATTATCATATTTAATTCTTAATGACATCATTATCATATTTTTACTCCGATAAAAATGTGTTTTGCGGCATAATGTATTTTTGCAAATACGTTGTATTTGTATTTTGTGAATACTTAAACATTTTAATCGCTGTGGTTTCTCAAGACTCAATAAAGGTCGTTCAGTATAAATATTATTTATGTGCGAGTTGTTCAGTATAAATATTATTAAAGCTTTTGTGTTATTTTAATGCAGTGCCATACATATTATTAAAAAGTTAACAATGCTTACTAAATTTGCTGACGTTTGCAATTTAAAAAATAAATTAGTTTGAGGAAAGCAATTAGTAAAAATGATAAATTGAATTTTCAAATAAAAGCAAGTAGAACTGTTGGCTCTCATACTAATAGGTGCATGAGTAAAAATTTTAAACTGTTTTTATTACTGATTATTATATATCATTCAGTATTACAAGAGTGAACATAGTTTTCATAACAAAATAACAATACTACAAAAAGTTATGCAATTTAAGTAACAAAATTTGATTACAAGGATTGCATAATAAAACTGTGACCAATTTAAAAATGTAAGATTCGGCTAACGGTAATTTTGTTATGGAACTTTTTGGTAAAAAGCGCAATATTTTACTTTAACAAAAAATTAGGTGCCTTTAAATAATCTTTTTTAATAAAATTTGGCATGCACGTAGAAAATAAGTTTTTAATTTTTTTTCAATAATTTTAAAAATTTTCTTATCATTTCGTTAATATAAATTTGATGTCTGATCAACAACGAAGTTTTTAGGAAAAGTTAATTCAATAAAAGCGGTTGTAACTGCAAAAAAAAAAAAAAAAAAAAAATGACGTTTAACTCTTCTACTTTTTAAAAAATGTCGATGTTGATATAAAATTCTAAAAAATAACACAAGAAAATAAATTCTTACAACTCTAAGCACTCTTTGGTAAAATGGTCGAAGATTTTGATTGCATAATCGGTGCCGTTACTCGTTGGATACGCACGTACCTATACTAAATTCTTTTTTTTTTTATCTAATTGAACATTTTTTATTTTTATCTATCATATTTATTTTTATATATATTATCATATTTATTTTTATCTATCGAACAGTCGAACATATTTTTACTTAACGAATAAGTCAAACAGGTTATCGTATTTTTAAGTATTAATGTATATATTAGGGGAAGATTGCGTAAGATGAGCAGATTCCTAAGATGGTATAACCTCTTTTACGGGTAGACTAATGATTTTTTCGCGAACTTTTTCGATTAAGAATATTCATACATGTTCGACGGTGTTATTTATTTAAATTTCTTGGTTGTATAGTTAATATTATTTGATTGTTTTACTGTTAAAAAAATTTGCCAACCCCGTTCTAATCTTTTATTAATCAATATTTTGTAATTATGTCAGAACGAAACAAGATCATCAAAAATTTATTACACCATCAATATTTTATGCTTATCTACTGCTAATTAATTTCTTGGGTTACATGAGATAATACATAAGCTGTTGTCATGTTATTTAAACTATGATAGTACTTGATGAAGTTGCTTAAGATGATACGTTTTTAGACTCTCAAGATGAGATGCGGCTTTTTATTAAGAAAAAGCGTGTTTTTTTAAAGTAATTCTCCGCGGAGCTTTATTTTAGTATTTCAAAAGCGAAAGTTTTTCAAAAAATACTATTGTTAACTTTTTTAGAGATAGGAAAAATTTATTATTGTTTTTCTGTTTTTATGATTGATATAATTACTTCTTACTTAAGTATAGTCCTTGAAGATACAATTTTATTTAATTTTTTTTTGTGATTATTTTTTTGTTATTTTGAGTTTTTTGAGTTCCATTAAAACAAAACTCATCTTAGGAAACTGGTTTCCTAAGTTGAAATGATTGGGTGTGTTGAAAAAAACGCAATTTTTGGTATAAAGGTTTTTTAAAGAACTACCCATTTATATTCTTTGAGAGGAAAGATTAAATTATCATTATTCTTAAAAAATATCTTTTTGTAATCTTTTGGGAGCAAAATACATTAGTTATATAACGCCATTTCTGCACATTCCAGTCAATATGAGATGTAGCAAACAGGAGTCTTTTCTTCTGGTTCTTTAGTGAAATCAGCGGTTTCTTTGCAGGGCGTCAAGAAAACAACCCGGCTTCAACAGCACGTTGTCTGATTGTTCGGTCCGATACAGACAGCTCTAATTGCTTTTGTATCTCGACTGATGATATCCAGGGATCCTTCTTGACGGATCTGACGATCATAGAATCCTCTCTAGAAGTGGTGGAACGCGGTCTTCCACCTTTGTTATCTGCTGCCAACTTCCCCGTAGAACGATATTTGGAAGATAGTCTTGATACGGTCCATTTTTTCACGCGATATTTATCGCAAATACTTTTTTGTGACATTCCACTTACGTAATCGCCATTAATTTTCTTTCTTAGTTCCAATCCAAGACTGTCGGGAACCATTTTTGCACTTGAAGTCATAAAAAGAATAAAAATAAATAATCACACTTCTCAAGGCTTACCGTGTTACATTTACCTCGCGATGATACAATAATGCTGTGTGGAACACAACGTCTTGGTTGGATGTGGACTGTATTGATGTAATGAAACACTTGTTGTATTTCACTTCTTGTACTGATGTTCTTTGATAAAACACTTTGATAAAACTCACTTCGATAAACTGTCTTGATAATACTGACGATTGACTTCCATATACTGACTGAATTACATGTCGGTTTACATGTCTCTTATATAATAAAATGAACCTGTGTGAACCTGTTCTGGAAGATTTTAGATGCTTTTTTTCGAACCTTCTGGATGCGTCTGGATGCTTCTCAATGTTTCTGGATACTTCTGGATGCTTCCAGATGCTTCTTCTGGAAACTTTTGGAAGCTTCTGCATGCTTCTGGAAACTTCTGAAAACTTCTGGATCCTTCCTTTAATTATTAAAAAACTTCCGTGACGTTGACACGGACCAGACTTAAAAAAATGAAACAAACGAAAAAAGTTGCACTTGTTTTGTCCGCTGCAAAATGGCACTTATCAACGAAATTTTGCCTGTGTGCTGTCACCTGTCAGCTGATTGCTCATGTCATGGCATGCTATGACTCCAGACTCCTGAACTGTTTGCTGTGGTAGTATAGTTCGTTTCGTTTTTAAGACATGTAAAATTAGGAACACTTTTTAGCATTGTTCGATCTTGGTTGCAAATGTTTTGTCCAATACTGTATAAACTAAACTAATAAACACTTAAAAGAATATATAGTATTTTACTAAAAAGGCATGTTCTATAAATTTAATAATCTTTTAGTTTTGCACTGATTGATTAAGTATTAGGAGTTTATTATTTATTTGAAACTTTATTTGTATATTTAATGTTATGAAGTACTGCCAAACGAGCATTTGAAAACCATGAAGTTTATTTTAAAATTACTGAAGTCGATTTTAGTGAATAAGTCATTGCATAATGTTTGCATAACACTCATTAATGGATGTTAATATCTCATCACTTGTTGATAATTACTAGAATAGCATTTTCGGGCTGCTTTACCTACTAGCGCTATACAAATTTTCTTTTCTTAGTTCAATCATTCGTGTGTGTTAAACGAAACCCGCTAGTTTTTTTTAACATTATTGAGTTACTTAATTAGATATGTGTTGTGGCGCACAGCCACTCTTTAAATACGTGCGGCGCTGATTGTACCGGATAGCAGAAACTATAATTCACTTTTGCCATGGCTTATAACGGAGCTCTAAATCAAGACAGATGACAAGGTTTTCACTTTTTGGATGGTGTATCTTTTGCTGTATCTTTTTTCAAAAAGCTGGTAAACGTGCGGAAAAAACAAATAAGTTTGTTTAACCGCGGTTTTTTTAAATAACATAACGTTTTCCTAAATGTAAAAAACTTTGAAAAAACATGGTAAGCTAATGACCAGTTTCAAAAATTGATGCACCCTGATTTATGACGTTGGTAAAAATTCAAACTTTTGAAAAATTTTAAATACATTTCAACATCTCAGTTCTTTACCCCACTTAAACCTTTATATGTTTAAAAGGTGCTAAAATAAAGATTACTATTGAGAACAATTAGAAAAAGTTGATACATTTTTATGTTAAACTGTTTTATAAATCAAGTACAAATGTCAAATGTAAAATACCATGATAAAAAATAAAAAATATTATAAGTTATAATAGCTTTAAAAAAGTATTAATATCAATAGTGCTGAAAAAAAAAAACGTTTTTATGGTCAGTCATATTTTAATAGAACTAATAAGTTATAAAAACTTATAAAAATAAAAAATTTCAACTAATTCTAGTGATAAAAAAGTTAAGAAAAACTAGGTCAGAAAAGCAAAGTCATATTAGTTTCCCCCTCTGTCGACAGGTCGTGCTAAATCATAAATTCGACTTGGTATTTTCCCTTTAAGTGCGGATGTCTTTACTTTAAATGCCAACGGATCAAATTGAACATGATCCATGTCATCGCGTAACAAAGGAACCGCTAATCCCTTTATGCGTTCAGTAGGTTTAGCATTTAATGCAGCATGTGAAACTTTCCATTCCACATCGCGATTCGGAATATAACGGTCAGTTAACTTTTTTGGCTTTGAGAGATCCTAAAATATTCTTTTTATTTCACAAATATTTATAAAAAATTTATAAATTTTTAGTAAAAAATTTGAATTAAACTTAATAATATTAACTTTCATTTTACCTCAACTCGTGCAGTGGTATGAGCAGAAAGAGTGCTTTTTTTAATAACCCATTCAGGGTCGCGAGAAGGTAAATCTAGACGTTCTTTAGGACGAGACAGGGATTCAATCGAAGGTGGGGTTTTTGCATTTTTTGCAGCATCAGAAATTAACCATACAACCTTGATATTAATATATTTAAAATAGCAATGATAAAAAAACTGAACAATCAAAAGCAAACATAAATATAAAAATGATAAAAATTAACAGACAAAAAACCTCTCTTGATGGTTTGTATGATTGATGTAAAGATTTAGGTCTTGCCAGATCATTCACCCTTTCTGGAGCATTGGAACTTAATGCAGACTTATTTACTGTCCATATTGGCGACGATCTTCCACATCCCAAAACGTACGATAATCTAATATATATATATATATATATATATATATATATATATATATATATATATATATATATATATATATATATATATATATATATATATATATATATATATATATATATATATATATATATATATATATATATATATATATATATATACTTCAATTTACTGATTTCTCATTAAAGCATGTGTGTTGAGGTTATTTAAAATAGATACAAATAACAAAAAAATGTATGTTAAGTATTACCTTTATATATTTACATTAAATATTATTATTATTACTATTTTTTTTATATATATCATTATTGTATTATTACTTTATTATATTATGTATATTATTTTTGGAAAGTAAAAATAACTTAAAATTGTAACCAGTTTTCCAAAGGTATTTCAATTTTATTTTATGTTTGCATAATTTTAACATTTTTTTTAAAATTAATTTGCCTACTCGGAAATTCTAATTAGAACTCTTTTATTCGGCTCATATGAAAAAACGATATTAAGATTCACAATTAAGAAAATTCACAATTAAAAATATAAAGAAAACTTTAGACTAAAGACAAAGCTGTAAGCTCCGTTTTAAATGTATAACGTGGCAATGTTTAGATTTTCCTTATCTTGTCTTTTCAGCAGTCACAAGCTTGTTACTTTGTGACATGGCCATCAAAAATACTGTGCTTTACTTTTTATTTTTTATTACATATGAAAACATACTTGTGCTACCCATTAAATGAAACTTTTAAAAAACGTCACCAGTAAACAGTTTATAGAAAAAAATGAAAACTTCTGCTGTGACAATCCTTCTGTTGTGGCAAGCCATCTGCTATGGAAAATATTTTTCCACTTTGCTTTAGAACGATTTATGTTGATTTGGTCTGTAGATAAACATTATACCAACTCATAAATAAGCACAACATCTTTCAACATTGTTTTGGGAATTTTTTCAGGATGTTAAATCAAAGGTTCCAGCTGTTATATAGGTTTAAATACTTCAATTCTTTTTATGCCATTAACTTTAGATAGAGCCTTTGCAATAAGGCCAGTAAAAAAATCCTTTGAATTAGTTGGAGCATGTAGTTTAACAGTTATATACCTAAATGGTAATTTATTACAATGCAGCATACAAACAGACCAGAATAGTTGCCTCCAGATTTGATAGAAAACCTCCATCTTTTATTGAACCTGCTATGGTGTTTGTACAATCCCCCTCAGATTCCTAAAAACTCATGGGTTGCCCTTAAAACCATCTAATTATAAATAACTATTATAGTTATATTGTCTGAACTTTAAGTGACATCATTCAAACAATGAAAGTCTGATTGTTTTAAACTTGTATGTCTTATTATATTTTAACACTTTTATTTTAATCTTTTAACACACTAGAGCAGTACCCATTAAAGTACTTATAGAAAAGAGAAAGAGAAGCAACATTATGAAATGTGACAATGATTGAAAGTTGGCCCCAAGAGCAGGTCCAACTATGTTTACAATGCGTTTTTGCACCTTGTCTAAAAGAGAAAGGGCATCATTCAAAGATCCATCTCAGATATGACAACAGTATTCCATACAAGGACAAATTTGAGATTTATAGAGATAAAGAATAAAATTTGGAGTAAGAAAGTGGCAAACACAATAAAGAGATACAACCTTAGCAGATGCTAATTTTGCAATCAATTTCATATACGGTTTCCAAAAAAGATCGCAAGTAAGTGTTTATTCTAGAAGAGGAAGGGTAGATGACTCATTAAGTTCATTAGCATTTATAAATATAGGAAAATCTAAGTTATTGCCATAACGGTGAGCTAAAAAAATTGGGTTTTATCTGAGTTAAAGCTGCTGTAGCAGAAGTGAGATCCTTTTCAGGTGTAGCAGAAGTGAGATCCTTTTCAGGTTCAAATGCACTCTCTAAGTAATCAGAGAGTGTTAGCTTTTTATCAAGACAAGAAGATGGTTAATGTAAATTAAAGAGTATAGGGCCAAGGATTGAACCTTGAGGAACCCCTTAAGTTACAGGAAATGAAGAAGAGTGCTGTCCATTGAGGACAACTTAACATAAAAACTACAATTTAAACTACCATTGGTAAAGAAGGATTAAGAAGTAACTAAAATTGGTAAAGAAGGATTCAATAGTCTTAAAAATGTTACCTGATTCACCATAAGAAAATAGCTTATAGAGAAGACCAGCACGCCAAACTGTACCAGAAAAAGCAGAAGTCTCTGGAATCTAATTTTTGAGATGGAATATAAGATTTTGCGACCTGAGAATAGCAGACTTTGGCGTTTGACAAAACCTTTGTATTATGGTTTTTAGCAATAGTAAACAGACTAAGATAATCATGGAAAGAGTCATAGTCAGCTTTAAGGTAGTTGTAAAAGGTACAATGATAGGGAGATTCCGATGATAAAGAAGAATAATGAGATAGTAGTTTTAGAGAGATCAAACTGTGAAGCACCAAAGGGTGAATGTGGAGAATAGGTCAGAAACACCTAAGGGTGAATGTGGAGAAACTGAGCACTGACTAGGATTAAAAACAATGCATAAGTCAAATAGAGAAGGTAAATGATTCAGATTGTCTAAAAGACGAGTTGGAAAGTTGACTATTTGTGTTAGAGATTGAGAAAGGTAAAATTCGTGGGTCTTAATGTTCACAGAGTCACTGACACTAGAACCAAAAGAAGTCATTCAGTGTGATGAGCATTCAAGTCACCAACAACAACAATATTGGCTGAGGGATAAAGAGAAATTTTAATTTGATCAGAAATAATATCAAAAAAAGTGTCTTGAGATGAACGAAAAGAGTATGAGATGAATGAAAAGAGTAGTCTTGAGATGAACAAAAGCAATATAGAAAAAAGAAAAAGGTGATAGAGTGAAGTGGTTTGAATCCGCAAGCATGTGACTATTGGACTTTTTAAGAACTAAAGGAAGATTAGTCTCAAAAAGAGCAAGTAACTCTGGTGAACTTTGCAAGAGATAAAACTCTTAAAGTTACTTTGAAGACCACAAATAATAGTGCATGATAGATTTAGAGAACTTGGTGATGACAATTATTTTTTGTGTTATATAATTTTAGGTACTTCAGTCATTTTTAAATTTGTTAAAGAATTTGACTCAAATCACAGATAGTACTCAATACACTATCTAATAGTCCAACCAATTGCCTCATTGCTATTAATAAACTCTAAGCACACCAAAAGTACAAACAGGGACATCATCCTTGCGCAACATGTCACTGTTAAAATGGGAAAACCTTTGGAAGAGTAGTATGCTTAATTTATTTCTATGTGCAGGTTGTTCGGCAAAATTCATGTTTGGAGTAATAGGCTTGAGAGAAAGGTATAACAACAATTATAAAAAAAAAGGTAACCCCATTGGTTGTATATATTGATTTGGGTCTTTAGGAGGTGAATATATTAAAAAAAATAATAAACACTAAAAAATCTTTGAAGCATGCAGAATTGATAGTTAATATCTCCCTTAAAACATGTAGGTAATGTTCATCATTTTTTTCCTTTTTAAAAGATTTTTTACTTAACATATGGAACTTAAGATAAAGTGCTTAGCAGCTTTTAAAAAGACTCGCATTACTATCTAAGGGTTTGTTAAAACTCAGTTTAAGATAAGTTTTTTTAAATGCTGGAGTGATTAAGTTGGCACAAACTTTAAACTTTCACAAAAGTCATAAAATACAGCACTAAACTTCAAATCAAAATTCAAAATCGTTAAATGAAATTATCAGATTTTATTCAACACATAACTAAGACATCCCCAAAAAAGTAGTGAGTCTAATTATCTTGAGGTCCATTGCATCTAAGTTATTTATTTTGATCATTTGATTAAATTGGGGATAAATGGAGGGAGGAATTTTTTGAAAGTCTGCTTTTTTAAAGCTTTTAAAAATGAAAAAAAAAAATTGCGCAAAACAGCACCAGATCATTGCTGCAGCCTTTTAAAAGCTTTTAGAAAATTAAATCTTATTCAAACAAATCTGGTCTATGACTCAGCCTGAGTCTGTATCTGTAACTAATACTTTGTGTACACATTGTAGAAAAGCCCTCTGTTTTTTTAGGGTTTTGATTTAATGCACTTTTCAGAAGTTTTGAAAAGTTGTTTAAACTTGTTTTGAAATGACATTAAATAATAAATTTGCTGTGAAAATTGAGCACTTTAAAAAACCCTAATTTAGACTCAATTTTGTGTCACACCAAATATTTTAGTATATCAAACAAATTGTTGATTTTAAAAACCTCAATTTAAATACAGCAACCATACCAGAGTCAGTTCACCACATTTTCATCTCTTTCTTGTGAAGGTTAAAAAAAGGGGTGACTCCTCAGAATATGAAAATAATCATTTGATAAGTTTTCATTTTAAATTTTCAAAACAGTATATTTTAGTTGCTTTTAATTCCAATAATAAGTTAATAATGAAAAACTAAAATGCATAAAATTAAAATTTGGTGTTTTAGCTTTTGTTTTTAATTCAATTTTAGTTATATAATTCAGTTGCATGTTTTCATTCATAATTCATTTACATGTTTTCAGTTTTATAATTGCCTTTTATAGGCCAAGGTTTATGTTTAAAGGTACTAGTGTTTAACTTGATGGCATTTCTGTGTTAACTAGGTAAAGGTAGAAAAAATCAAACAATGCTTAAAAATATTTTAGAGAAATATAGTAATTTTGCAACCACAACAGTATAAAGTTTTAACAATACATTTAAAAAAAAAGAAAGAGCATCATTAGAAAAACCAGCTGCAATATGACAACAGTATTTCATACAAAGACAGCTAAAATATTTATGGAGGTAGAATATGGAAACAAGAGTAGAAAACTGGCAAACACAATTAAAAAAGAAAGCAAACTTAGTGAATACTAACCTAAAATATTATTTAATATAATCATTATTTTACCTATCCTCTTCATATCCTGAAGGTACACTCTTTGGTCTGGATAATTCTTCAATGCGTTTTGAAGCATTTGCTTTCATGGCACTAGATTGAACTTGCCAGATGACAGAAGATCTTCCGCAAGAATAAGTAAAGTAGTCTCTTTAAATAAACAACTTATAAGTATCAATAAACAAATAATTCTATATATGTATGTATGTATGTATGTATGTATGTATGTATGTATGTTTGTATGTATGTATGTATGTATGTACTTAATTATGTATGTGCTTAATGTACAACTTAATTTTCCCTATTTAAAAACTTTTGAATACTATTTTTTGCAACTCAATTAAAAAGAAAAAATATTCAAAATAAATAAAACAGCTATTGTTATTTGCTTTTAGTTTTTCAAAACATGTTTCTCAAGATTTTATATTGTATTTATATAAGCCATAAAAATTCATTTATATGGCATAATAAACTTAGAAAAACAAAATTATTTATAAAACCTTTTCAATAGCCTACAGACAAATATTTTACCAACTTTTTGAAAAAAAAAATTATACTTTTGCAATGGTGCAGTATGTTCTTTATATTTTTCTGATGTTATAATCAATCATATACTTTTTTTGGATGAGTCAAACTTTGACTTCATCTTTGTTTTATCATGTCAAGACTTCAAGGAGGAGGAGGCTTAATTGGAATTTTGGGCTGCATCACTCAATCTAGCACTGGCCTAGTAAATCTTTACTCTGATTGCCTCAATCAACATTAGTATTAGCAATTTTAACAAAGCTCAATCAAGCAATAAATGGAGGAAAAAAAAATTAGGGTGGTCCAAAAAACACCATTTTTGATAAAAATCTGCTCCACAACCCTAAATGTGTTCTATATAATACAAAAACACTAGGTTTACAATTTTTTTGAATAAAAAATATTTTTAGGGATAGCCCCTGACCCTTTAACATTTGACGGGTTCCTAATATTTTGAAAAAAAAAGTTCTTCTAAAATATGTCAACCTGGTACTCAAAAGAAGCGAAATTATATTAAAAACTCAAAAATATTAATTAATTAAAAAAATTTGGAAATTATGACTTTTTCTATTTTCAGCTTAAAAACAACAGTTTTTATGCAATTATGTAAGAAAAAATTATTTTTGTATAAAAATTAATAACAATATATATATATATATATATATATATATATATATATATATATATATATATATATATATATATATGTATACATATATATATATATATATATATATATATATATATATATATATATATATATATATATATATATTTATACACACATTTAGGCTGCTATTTATCAGTTTAGTTCCTTGACTGCTACAACTGCATTGTATCATTATTGATGATACCACCAGTTTGATGATCTGCCCCGTGTTTATGAAAAGACATGTCAAGTGTTTTGACTTTGTTGTTGTCACCAATTGCTACCACAAGTCTTTCTTGTATTTCATGTGTTGCCTAGCTCTTTATCAGCTTAGAATCCCATCACATTTTGATGGAATCCACAACTTCTTTACCTCAGAGATAATGTTTCCATTCACCATGTAGCTTGAGCTGTCTGCATTTAATACAGTAAATTTCCCTGCATCAACTTTTGATTTTTCAATAACGGTATCAGTGAGTGCAAAATGTGAAAGAGAAATTGTGCAACAGAATTTTTCATTCTTGTTGCCAAAGATACAATTTTTGAAGATTTTTGAAAGTTATAAGATGTATAAGCTGCTGTTTTACTTTGAATGGTTTGATTGTAAAGTTTTACCAACTTTTTTTTAGAAATCTTCAAAGACCTATCACATCCATTGTCATCACTACTTTCTTGTTTCTGTTGCTAGAGAGCTAAACTGATAAAGAGCAAATGTATATATATATATATATATATATATATATATATATATATATATATATATATATATATATATATATATATATATATATATATATATATATATACACTAAATTAAAATTTAAGCATTAAAACATCATATACGGTATCATACTATTTATTTCTTTTCTCTATAAGAAAAGCAGAAATATCACTTATAGAAAAAAGAAATAAATAGGATGATACCGTATATGATGTTTTAATGCTTATATATATATATATATATACTAATATATTAATATATATATATATATATATACTAATATATTAATATATATATATATATATATATATATATATATATATATATATATATATATATATATATATATATGTATATTAATATATATATATATATATATATATATATATATATATATATATATATATATATATATATATATATATATATATATATATGTATATATATATATATATATATATATATATTAATATATACATATATATATATATATATATATATATATATATATATATATATATATATTAATATATATATATATATATATATATATACTAATATATATATATGTATACTAATATATATATATATATATATATATATATATATATATATATATATATATATATATATATATATATATATATATATATATATATATATATATATATATATATATATATGTATTCATACATACATATATATATATATATATATATATATATATATATATATATATATATATATATATATATATATATATATATATTTATATATATATATATATATATATATATATTTATTTATTTATTTATTTTAAATAAATTATACCTGCAACATTTTTCTGGGTGATCTCTCTGAAAGTTTTTTTTAGGTACAGAAAGACTCAGAAGATGGTTACTAGTTTGGCATTTTAGTGCAGCTTTGCTGATAGGTCTCATTAACTCCTGATTGCCCCAAACAACTGGTGGCCTTTTTAAAAATAAAAAATTGTTTTAACCTTAATTTTTCACATAAGTTTAAAAAAAATACATTAAAAACTTAGCAACTATTTCCAAAATTTACTTTTTTATGTTTTAATGGTTTAATGGTTAATATGTTTTAATAAAACATGTATCAATTTAGAAAAAGTAAAAAGTTTCATTTAATAAGTTAAATAAAATTTTATATAATAAGTTATAAAAAGTGTTTTAAATAGAAATGAATTCAGGTAACTATTGTACTCATTTTTTTTTCCAAAAGTTTATGTATTAAACTTATTCCTAATTTTTATTTATTTATATTATATTTTTTCAAAAAAAAATGTAAATAAATAACCTTATGGATAAACTGTGCCTTAAAGATATTTTAACTTTAGAGATCAATGCAGCTATTTGTCCATTTATTCTAATAAACTACAATTTTATTCAAAAATGAACTGTGCTTTGAAGACTTTATCAAGTTCTCTATTTAACTTAGAAAATTAGTAGTTCCACAATTGATTACTTGTTAATTATCATCTGTAACTAGTTGCATGATGGACTATTCATTAACTATTATCTGTAACTAGTTCTGCAATTGATTACTCATAAACCATCTTCTATAACTAGTTTCACAATAGAATACTCATTAACCATCTTCTATATATTATAATGAATTTTTTATATAGTTACATCAACATTTTGTTTTATAAAAAAAAAGAGCAAGTCTTACCATTTCTGTCTCTTTTTTTTACATTAAAACTGCATACTAAACCTGTCTATTTTATTTTAGATTACAGGTAAAATATTCTAAAATTAATTTTTATTGAAACACCTTAAAATATCTTCGAGTTATTTGTGAAACTCATAATGGTTGAATGTAAACTGTATACAGCTACTGTCATTTAGAAAACCTCATAAGCAAAAAAACAAAAAATTATTGCTTTTCTCTGAGATGTCTGGAAGAATGAGATCATTAGATTCAAAATATAATTTAGAATAAAAGTTTTTTCAAGTACATACACATCTATGCATGCATATACACATATATACATATACACTCACACTAATTTACAAGCACTTATCACAAACACTTATACACAAATACACATATCTTTGGATTTATTAACTGTATTTGAATAGGAAGGAATGGAATAGGTTACTCTTAAAAACATAGATTGAATGGAAAAATTTTAGGTCATAGGGAAGGTCATTCTAAGATTTTATACTTTGATTTTTTATGGACTTATATCCATAAGTAGATGGATATAACGATGTTTTAAGGCTGCAAGAATCAGATTATCAATTGATCGAAAAAAGTATCGGCATAAAGTATATGCATTTTTTGGCAAGAAATTGTTAAAGGTAAGAGGTAGGTTTTTGTGTTGGTGATTCTATACAAACTGGCAATTCAAGAATCGAACAAGGTCACATAGTTTAAGGATCTTAGAAGTAAGAGAAAGCACATTAGGATTGAATTTGTAATTCTGAAAATGTATTATTTTTAAAGCTTTGTTTTGAAGATGGGATATCCTTAAAACTGATTGCTGTTGAGATTGTCCCCATATTTGACAAGCATATCGTATAAGTAAGCCAAAAATGACATGGTATATACTTAATAGTGTTTCCAGATTGACATAATGGCAAACTTTAGCCAGCATTCCATTTGATCTGCTCAATTTTATGTCTAAGTCTTTAAAATGGGTTATAAACTATAGGTTGGAATCAATTATAATTCCAAGATATTTGATTGAGTTTACAGGAATGATTTTTCGGCCACTTAATCTAAAGTTTAAATTTTTATTAATTTTTTTTTTTATTAGATTTGAATATGACCAGTTTTGCTACAGTTGAGAGAAAGCTTATTTAAGTGAAGCCACTGAACTAAATTGACAAGATCATAATTAATGTATTTGTCAATTTTTTTTTTAAATTTGTATATAATTTGTAATAATGAGCAAGTTAGTATCATCAGCAAAGTGGTAAGGAGTTGCAAACTTAATTGATTTATTAAAGTCATTAATATAATGAAGAAAAAGTAGTGGTCCTAATACTGAGCCTTGAGGAACACCGTTGGAACAATTTATTTGAGTAGATTTTGATTCATTTACTGAGACAAACTGAGATCTGTTGTGAAGATAGGAAATAAACCATTCAAGAGGTGTTCTTCTTATTCCATAATATTCTAATTTCTTGAGTAGGATAGAATGATCTACTGTATCAAAAGCTTTTTGTAGATCTACAAAGACACCACATGCAAAGTTTTTATCACCAATTGAGCTTTTCTAGTTGTGGAATGATTAGCACGAAACCCATACTGATGCTTGTAAAGGCATTTAAATTTATTCAAAAATCCATAGAGTCTCTTATGCATAGCTTTTCCAAAGAGTTTGCTTAGGTTTGAAAGAAAAGAGATAGGTCGGTAAAGAGACATATCAATTGTAGAACCTTTTTTAAATATTGGAAAGACTTTAGCAACTTTGAAAGCATCTGGGAATAAACCATTTTAAAATGAGTTATTTATAATAATAGTAAGAGGTTTAGAATTTATGTCTGGAATAAGTTTAAGAAGAAATGTAGGAAGGCTATTAGGACCAAAGCTTTTTCCAATTCTAAAGGTGGTTTTAATAAGATAAGAGATTTTATTCTCTGTGACAGGATCAATAAAGAACGAATTAGAATTTGGAGAGTTAATATAGTTAGTAAATTTGGATGTAGAAGGTATGATTTTGTTTTGAAGTTTGTTTTTGATAGTAACAAAAAAGTTATTTAATATATTCAATACAGTAGTTTGATGGGTGATAATATTTTTTTTCAATTTTAGTTTGAGAGTTAATCTTTAGTAGGAAGGTTTTATATTAATGATTTCTTTTATCCCTTTTCAAGTATTCTTAATATTGTTTAAGTTTTTACTAAAATAGGTTGTGTAATAGGATTTTTTACTAATTTTTAGTAGATTGCTGATTCTGTTTCTATAAAGTTTAAATTTAGAAAACAGTTTATTTTTAGTACTAATATCTTTACATTTTGTATAGTCTATTTTTAATGGAAATAGATTTAAGTATGCCATTGGTGATCCATATTTTTGATTTAAGTTTAATTTGCTGCTTAGTTAGTTTTATGTATGGAGCATGCTGATCTAATATGTTTTCAAATGTCTTTAAAAGAGAACTGATAGATTGATTTACATCATCATTTTTTTTAATATAGAGATCCCAGTTAATGTTGGAAACATCTTCAATAAATATATTTTTGTTAAAGATCTTGAAGCATTGTCTGTAAGATTTTTTAGGGTGGTTAGTTTTTCTAGGAATGCAGATAAATTGAGCCATATGATCAGATATTGAAATAGTAGTATTGCCAGAGATTTGGTCAGATGAATTGAAGTTTATGAAAATGTTATCAATAAGTGTTTGTGATTTAGCTGTTACGCGTGTTGGTAGAATTATAACAGGATGTAATCAGGACTGTAAAGTCAGAGTTGCGGAGTTGCAACATTTTTAGCAGAGTCAGAGTTGCTACACAAAATCACGACTCCAACTCCAATAGCAAAACTTCTCGGTATTGGACGTGCATGTATAAAACATTAAATTAGCCTTATGTTCATACTAAACCTCAAAGAACGTTTCATAAATTTGTCAAAAAATTTTTTTTTTTAATTTATCGCATAAAATATTTTAAAGAATTCAAAGAATTTTTCAAAAATTTTGCTTTGGAGTTGGAGATGGAGTTGGAGTTAGAATTGTACTCAAAAAATTTCAACAACTGGAGTCGGAGTCGTTACTTTTTTTTACAACTCTACACCCCTGGATGTAATGAAAAAGAAATAAGCAAAGTCAAAGTAGCAAGATATAGGATTTGATTCATTATATTTTAGTATAAGGGGTAAACAGTTTATATCTGTTGACCAGCCTAACACCCCTTTTTTATCTATTAGGCTGGCGCAGATGTATTTTTAATACATTGTTTTTAGTTTAGGATGTTGAATGGTGGATCTTCTTGACTCAATGCATGGGTTTTGCTTGTGTTTCTGTTTTTATGACTAGGCACCTCATTCTATTATCTCCTAATGAGGGTCCAGCTCTAAAACTCAGTTTTATGGTTCTGAGGCCAGCTGTAAGTCAGGTTTCCCGAACTCTGTGGTAGCTCTCAGAGAGGCTGATTCCATGAACAGCTGTAAAATATCAAAGTACTAACAGTTCCATGTTGCGCATGGATAGTGTCCCTGTTTGTACTTTTGGTGTGCATTGCCAAGGCCACATTGGAGCCCTTTGTTACGGCTTAGGGTTTATTGATAGTAATGAGGCAACTGCTTGGGCTATTAAACAGTGTACTCTATGTATCTATGTTTCGATTCAAGTTCTTTAACAAATTCAAAAATGAATAAAGTAACAAAAACTATAAAACACAAAAAACCACAGTCATCACTAAGTTTGCTAAACCTATCATTCACTAATATTCGTTGGCTTCAAAGTAACTTTTCTTCTGTTGAGTCTTATCTCTTGCAAAGTTCACCAGATCTACTTGCTCTTTTTGAGACTAGTTTGAGTTCAGCTGTTTCATCTTGTGATCTTAGTGTTGATGGTTATCTTCCTTTAATTCGTAAAGACTCCAATAGTCACATGCTTGGCCTGGGCATTTACATTCTTAAGAATTCATCCATTTGTTGGGAAACTAGATTTGAATCCACAAGACTACTCTTTTATGTGCTTTCTTTAGCATCATTTTTCTTTTGGTGAACTTTAATTCAGATAAAACTCAATTTTTTTCAGCCAATCATTATCGCAATAATTTAGACCTTCCTATATACTTATGAACGATAATGTACGAGATGAGTCATCTACCCTTCATCTTCTAGGATTAACTCTTACTTCTAATATTTCTTGGAAACCTTATATTAAATCCATTGCTCGACACTTTCTTACTCTGGATTCTATTCTCTATCTCTATAAATCTCAAATACGACCTTGTATGGTTGCCGTATCTGGGGAGGATCTTCTAATGATGTCCTTTCTCTTTTAGACAAGGTGCAAAAACGCATTGTAAACATAGTTGGACCTGCTCTTGCTGCCAACCTTCAACCTTTGTCACATCGTCGTAATGTTGCTTCTCTTTCTTTTTTCTACAAATACTATAATGAGCACTACTCTAAAGAGCTAGCGTCTCTTGTGCCATCTACTAAAGTTCATTCTCGTTTTACTCATCATTCAATTAAGTCTCATCCTTTTCTGTGACTGTTCCTAAGTACTCCAAAAACTCTTATTCCTATAGTTTTTTTCCTCGAACATCAGTTCTTTGGAATTCGCTTCCTTCATCTTGCTTTCCTGATTCATATAATTTGCTATCTTTTAAGTCGTCTGTCAATCGTTATCTTGCCCTACAATCTTCATCTTCTCTCTTCCAGTAACTTCCAACACTAATTAGTGGTTGCTTGCAGCCTTGTTGGAAGCGAAGATGTTTTAAAAAAATATATATCCATATTAAAATCCCCCATAAGAATAATACTTTTTTTTAATATTTAACTTATCTAATAGTGGAGTTAAATAATTATTAGTGATTTTGTCTTGATTCATAGATGGATGTCTATATATGCAACAAATTATTATGTTTTTCAAGTGAGGCTTTATAATTTCAACAAAAATGGATTCAAGATATTTGGAAGAGTATATCTTTAGGTTGTTGCAAACTATATAGTTTAAATTAGAGTTTAGATATAGAAAAGCACCTCTTTTTTTAGCCTCAGTGGGGCAATGCTCAATGTTAAAACCATTTATAGATATGCTTGTTATATTTGTATCATTAAGATACAAATTTAACTCAGTAATACTTATTGCTATAGGTAATGTATTAAGAGTGTTAATAATGCTGCAGAGATTATTAATGTGACATGGTAAAAAAGCAATGTTAAGATGAATATAAAGATCTGAATTAAGATTAATTTTTTATTGAAATCTATGGTATCATAGTATTTACAATTAAATGAACCTTGGGGATTATTTAGATCTAAAATTGAATTTCGTGGACTTGATGTAGTGTCAAGAGAATATAGTAAGTTAATACTCTCATGCGATAATGTTTGGTCAAGCTTAAGGTCAGAAAGAGAGACAAATTTAATTTTTTTAGATGGCATAATAAGGTATTAGGAGTGTAAAACAATTTGTTTAGATTTAGTATGATTTTAGAAAAAAATGGAGTTTGTTAGAAGAAATATAGCTTAACAGTACTTTAAAAAAGAAAAATAAGTAATTCAAGGACATAAACAACAATATCATACCAATATACATATCAAAATATCATTGTAGTAATGATAAATAAATATTAAGGTACAATATAAATATAAATACAAAAGTTTACTTAATATAAATACACTTATAATATTCCAGAACAATAAGTACTTAAGTAGTAAGAAAGTTAGAAAGAAAAATAAATAGAAATAAAATAAAAAACCAGTAAACAAGCTACACTTCCAATTAACAAGTAAGAGATTTCAAATAACAAATAAATACTCTGAGATAACAAGTAAAAAAATTCTTGTTATTTTAGTTTCTCTACTTGTTTTTGCTTCTTTTCTATTTATCAGATTTAATCTTTTTGTTCAATAAATTGCATCTATCATTCAAGTAATT